GTGGCATATTTAATCAAGAATTGAGCACTTTTAAGTAAAATATGCATAAGTTCAGAAGAATATCTGCATCTTTTACTCTTATTGAATTTAGGATTTCTAGAATAAGAAAACACAATTATTAGTGAAATTTTGTGACTAAGAGTGCTTCCCTTCTCCTCTCACGTATGTGTATATATATACAATTGCTATTACAATGAAATGACCATATTTCCCTTTAGTAAAATACCTAATATTGTAACATTTATCACCAATTTCTCCTTTCTCTTCTTGTTTTTTATTTTTTATATTTTCATTCAGTATTCTTTATTAAATGTGTGAACTTCTCGTAGGACTTTCCAGCACTTATGCCATATTAACTATATGTACGTTTCCTAGGAACTAAGTAAAACCTAAAATCATAAGCTCTTTCTAACAAATGTATAAAAAGGGAATAAATATATTCTAATAGTATAAACATTCATGAATCAGTAGTTGTGATAGAGTAACTTTAATACCATCAATAGTTTTTTCTAGTTTAATATTATTATTATTTTTTTTTGTTATTAATTATAGTGTTGTTATTAATATGTTAGATGGATATGAATGTTGAGAATGTGGAACAATGCGGTGATTCTCTCACAATTGAAGAAGTGGTTGAAGTTACGAACGATGGAAAATTGTTATGAGATGAGTCACTCATTGAAAAATTCGTGAATATTATGGTGGAAGAAGTTAAAGCTAATAATCGCAGTGGCACAACATTTAGTAAAAGTGGTTGGAGTAATTTAGTCAAACAAATGAATGTTCAAACGGGGAGAAAATTTGGTTTAACCCAACTTCGGAATAAGTTTAATGGTTTGAGGAAAATTTATACTGAGTTTAAGAAATTATTATCGGAGACTGGCGTGGGATATAACCATGAGACGGGCATGGTTATAGTTGAGGAAGAGAGATGGGACAGGTTGTGCAAGGTTAGTAATTTAATTATTAGTCCTAAATAAATAATAAAATCTTGTATATTATTGGTTATGTGGTTAATATTATAACAAAATTTGTAGGTTGTTACGAATGCAAATAAGTATAAAAAGTATGGATGTAAGTATTTTGACAAGATGTCGACTATATTTGGGGACACATATGCAAAAGGGATGCATGCCCACCCATCCACTACAGCACCACCCACAATCATTTTGCCAACTCCCAATGATGACGATGATGAGGAAGATGGTTGTGAGGTCAATCCCCCACCTTTACGTAAAGGTAAGAAAGCCAAAAGAGATGCTTTATCTCCTGGTATAGCTGCACTCTTGTCAAACATGAATGAGAATTCTGAAAGGAGAGCTGAGAGAATGGAAGCTGCAATAGAGAAAGCAGCTAAAGCATCTTCTACTTCTACTCGTGTATCTTCATGTGAGAAAGGAGATGATGAAGCTCTCCCTCCCTCAAAAAATGATAGAGATTATGAAATGTTTGATGCCTCCATGCTCCTTTTACGAAATATACCTGGAATTGAGATGGCCCAATTCACTAAGGTATCGAAGTTATTACATGATTCTGAGAAGTGGCAGAAATTTTTTCTTTCGGCACCTGAGGATGTAAGAATTGGTTGGGCATTGAATGTTTGAGTTTTTCTTTATGGATGATTGTGTTTTGTGTCATCGTTTAACTTATTACTATCTCACATTTGGATGACTGTAATAACTTAAATACTTTTACTATCTCACATTTGGATGACTGTAATAACTTAAATATTTTTATTATCTCACATCTGGATGACTGTAATAACTTAAATACTTTTATTATCTCACATTTGGATTACTGTAATAACTTAAATATTTTTATTATCTCACATCTGGATTGCTGTAATAACTTAAATACTTTTATTATCTCACATTTGGATGGCTATAATAACTTAAATAATTTTATTTCTTGGATGCCTGTTAGTACTCAAATACTTTAATACCATTATTTAAATGTTTGTTTTATTATTTAAATGTTTTGTTTATTATTTAATTGATTTGCTTATTAACTTAAATGTTTTGCTTGTATTAAATCTTTAAATAGGGTAATGGATATGTAGAACAATATAAGAAGAATAATTCAATTATATGACGATGAGGAGGACAATGAGAGTGTCTTAATATTTGCTGCTCTTTTAGAAGAGCAGAACTTATATCAAAAGAGGCGTTGTAGGGATTCCATTTTACAAGGGGAAACATATGTTATGGAGATTTTAAACGGCCATAGAGAAAGATGTTATGAAAATTTTATGATGTACCCTGAAGTTTTCAGAACATTGTGTAGTACCCTGAAAGGTATAGGGCTGAAGGATTCTAAATTTTTAACTGTTTATGAACAAGTGGCAATCTTTTTGCTCACTTTATCTCATAATCAAAGGAATCGTGTTGTAGCAGAGAGATTTCAACACTCCACTGAAACCATTTCTAGACACTTCCATGCTGTGTTGCATGCAGTATGTCAGTTGGGCACCCATATCATTGCCCCTCCTAATTTTTCTGTGATTCCGAATAAGATTAGAGAGTCTTCTAGGTTTTACCCTTACTTCAGGCATTGTGTGGGAGCTATAGATGGAACCCACATTCCTGCAACTCTGCCAGCAAGTACACAACTTCTATTTCGTGGTAGAAAGGGTTATACTACACAAAATGTAATGGCTGTATGTGACTTTGACATGAGGTTCACATATGTGCTAGCTGGGTGGGAAGGCTCAGCTAATGATTCGAGAATCCTAAATGAGTGTACTGAAAATGAGGCAATGAACTTTCCAGCTCCACCAGCAGGTAATATTATTTTACAAATTCATTTAATATATGGTTAGTTTATCATACTGTATATATCTTTATGTATTCTAAACATGGCAGGTAAGTATTATTTGGTGGACTCAGGGTATGCCAATAAGCCTGGTTATTTGGCCCCATTTCGAGGTCATACTTACCACTTTCAGGAATACCGTAGGACTAGACAACCTCGTGGTCGGGAGGAAGTGTTCAATCATAGGCATTCATCTTTGAGAAATATAATTGAGCGATACTTTGGGTTATTGAAGATGAGATTCGCTATTTTGAGGGCAATGCCTCCTTATAAGTTTTCAACACAAGTATTGATTGTAATGGCTTGTTGCACATTACATAATTTCATCAAAAATCAGCATCAGCCTTACGACATATTTGATGGTAATGATCCTCCTCAAAGTGATGGTGAAGATGATGAGATTGTTGAGCATGTGCCTTCGGCTCAGCTTCGAGAAATGGATCAGTTGCGTAATACTATTGCTGATCAAATTTGGAATTCTCTTCAGCACTCTTGATCCTTCTGAAAGTGATGGTATATTTTTTCTTTTATATGTAATATATTTGTTGCTATTGTGAGCTTGCAATATATATATGTAATATAAATATTTTTTACAGATATATAATTCAACTTAAATGCTATTATTGCATATATGAAGTGTGTTGATGCTCTCTTGAAGGCCACATGTGCTGTTATGAAGATGATGTGTCGTTGCCATTGTCATCCACTTTATGAACTTCTTATCAATTTTTAGTGACAACTATGTATTGTTAATGCTTGGTTCCAAACATTTTATGTACAACTTAAACTTGTTTAATTTGTTGGTTGAATATTTAAGGACTTGTAAATGTTATACACTCTATTTCAATTATGCTTTCAATTGAGTTTGTTTTTATTTTAATGTTGTGTTGGACTATACAGGTATCAGGATAATAAAATTGAAACAGGTTATTGCAAAGAACTTGTAAATAGGTTATTGTAAATTTTTTTTACAAATATTGACTCTCATGTAGTATTGTAAAATGTGACTAGAGATTATTTATTTTTAATGTTAAGTTGGACTATACAGGTATAATCATAATAAAATTGAAGCAGGTTATTGTAAAGAACTTGTAAATAGGTTATTGCAAATTTTTTTACAAATGTTGACTCTCATGTAGTATAGTAAAATGTGACTAGAGATTATTTATTTTTAATATTGAGTTGGACTATACATGTATAATGATAATAAAATTGAAGTAGGTTATTACAAATAACTTGTAAATAGGTTATTACAAAAATTAATATATATATAATTTGGTGGGGGTTTACATTTTTTTACAAAAGAGAAGGCAAGAATCTGTATTTTGGAGTTAAATTCCCACCAATGCAGACTTATAAGAGTCGAAAATTATTATCAAAACTGTGTAGTATTTTTTTTTTTTTCTTCTTTCGCTAATGCGAAAAATGAGCAAAATGAATGAAACACAAACCTATGGACAATCATCACCAAAGGAACAAACTATACCAGGAAATTTCAAATAACTTAAAGTGTAGTTTCAGATCAAGATAACATGCTGTGTGTGTGTGTGTGTTCAAATTTTAATATATTTATTAAAAATATATAGATTATTTATATAGAAATAAATTTATAAATAAATTTAAAATTTATAAAAATAAATTAAAAACAATGATAACCAAACATGTTTTTTGTTTCTGTTTTATTTTGTTTACAACAGTTGGAGCTACCAAACATTTTTTGTTTTTAAAATTCTTGAAACGCATGACTTACCAAACATGTTTTGCATGTTTTTATTTCCGACATTTCTACAGTAAAAGATCGTTCCCAAACGTGCTTCCGATTTTTGCCAAAACACTCTAATAGTAAAAACGCTATTTCTGTTTTAGCCAAAAACAAAACGCCTAAAGTAAAACGCATGTCAAACGGGTCCTAAGAGATCACCACGCATCCAATTGAATGTTTTGGCGTGTCAGAAGAAACTAGTATTTACAAATATTTTAATAATGTCAAAATCATCCACAACTGATTTGCATGAATTAAATAAAACCTATCTACCCCTTAGTTGTAAATAATGCTCAGTAAACCTATCAGGACTCATCTCTTGTTTGACGAGCTTTCCAAGCAACTTCCTTCTATAAATGTTTATTATTCTGAATGGACCCCAGAGTTGATAGAGTCGGCAACTTACTTCCAAATAGATGGGAAAAGAAAAAAAAAAAAAAAAAATCAGAATATGATTTAAAAATAAATAAAATCAGAATATGATTTAAAAATAAATAAAATCATGTGACTCTGCAACACTACATCATTGCTGGCGTCACCATTTTTGTACTTAAAAAAAAATATAAAAAAAATAAAATAAAAATAAATAAAAAAACTATATGACAGCAAACCATTAATAATCTAATGAATTCACAACTGAAACTGAGACGTGCTCTGCAAGAATCCGAGTCCAAACAATGTCACTATAAATAAAGTAGCATTTTGGTCAGCTCAACTCACATGTTAGCAATTCATTCTCTTCTGCCCAACCTCTTTGATAGTTCAGCAGCCGTTTAGTTGATACAAACAATGGTTACTTTCTCAGTGTTCTTCAGTTGCTTTGTCCCGTCGTCGTCACGGATATCCGACGAGGCTGGCGGTCACAGCAAGAAAGGGGCATCCTCTGGGAAACAAGAAAGCAAATCCAAGTCATCTCAAACTCCTCCAATCCCAGTTTCCAACTTCCCAGTTAACACACATCTTTCCCGGTTGTAGTTAGCTGTTCATGATGATTCAGGAGTGGCGTATGGTTGTGTCGTGCTATCATCAATTGATGGAGTTCCTGCAGCTGGTTGAAAAACCTATCAAGGAGTATTCGATAATGGAGAAAACAGTGTAAGTTATGCAAAGTGGGATTGCAAGTTCGTCACCGTAGAAAGAGAGAATGATTTGTAATTCAAAATACTAATGCAATAATAAGATCTGTGGTTTAAGTGCAAGAAGCCATAGAATCTGATGTGTTGTGGATGCTATTATCAAGTGATGATGGCAACATCAAGATTTAAAATAGCAATATCATTTGTGCATGCATAGTGTTAATTTTCTGAAGGCATTACCTGATGCAATAATCGAAGTTCAAGTTCAATCAGTTTGCTTCTGAATAGTTCAAGTTCAATCAGAAATGGTAACCTGTGTCCAAAGATTAAACAGAAGTTTCAAATAACAAACTAAAAATGAAATCAAATCAAACATGATTCATGGACTCCTCCGTTTCTCCCCAAGACATTGTAATGTTAGTAATATATATAGATATATATAACATGACAAAATTATTATTTTAAATTAATAGTATACATTTTAAATTTTTACACCTCTACATTAAAACAATATATGTGAATAATGTCAAAGGTTATGTCTGAATCCAATTTGTTCCTCTTAGGACACACATCCACTATGAGCTTTTGCTACATTTTGCCCCTTTGAAGAATTGCAGAAGAGTCTGCTTGGAAATTTTATGGCCTTGTTAGGTGTTAGAAGAAACTAGTCACTAGAAATATTTAATAAAGTCATGTTTTAAAATAAAAAATTACAACTCAATGACACTATCTTCTAATAGAATATGATTTAAAAACGTCAAAATCAATCATAACTGATTTACATGAATTGAATAAATTAAACCACTCTACCCATTGATCCTCAACTAAATAATGCTTAATAAACCTATCAGGACTCAGCTCTTGTTTGACACGCTTTCCAAGCAACTAACTTCTATATGTTTATTATGAATGGACCCCAAAGTTGATAAAGTCCACAACTTGTTTCCAAATAAATGAAAATAAAAAAACTAGAATATGATTTAAAAATAAATAAAATTATTTGACTCTGCAACACTACATCATCTTTGCTTGTGTCACCATTTTTTGTATTTTCAAACAAAATAGTCCGTCCAAGCAACAATAGATAATCTAATGAATTTACAACTGAGACACGCTATGCAAGAATCAAAGTCCTAACTATAATGTCACTATAAATAAAGTAGCGTTTTGGTTTAGCTCAACTCACATGTTGATCAGTTGTTAGCAATTCATTCTCCTCTGCCCAGCCTCTAATAGTCCAGCAACCATTTAGTTGATACAAACAATGGTTCTCTTCCCAGCGTTTTTCAGTTGCTTCGTGCCGTCGTCGTCAAGGGTATCCGATGATGCTGGTGGTCACAGCAAGAAAGCAGCATCCTCTGGGAAACCAAAAAGCAAACCCAAGTCATCTCGAGCTCCAATCCCTGTTTCCTACTTCCCAATTAACTCACAGCTTTCCAGGTTGTAGTTACTAGTTCATGTGGAAGAAGCTGATGAATTCAGAGTGGTATGGTTGTGTCGTGCTATCATCAATTGATGGAGTTTCTGCAGCTGTTTGAAAAACCTCATCATCAGGGTGTGTTTGAAGGCTGATTGATGATAGCAAAACTAATAAATGGAGGAAACAATGTTATGTTATGCAAAGTGTGATTTCAAGCAAGTCACTGTAATTCAAATACTAGTGCAATAATAAGATCTATGGTTTAAGTGCAAGAAGCAGTAGAATCTGATGTGTTGTGGATGCTATTGTCAACTGTCAAGTGATGATGGCAACGCTGAAGATTGAAAATAGCAATATTTGTTTGTGCAAAGTATTAATTTTCTGAATTACAGGGGGCACCTCTTGATGCAATAATAGAAGTTCAAGTTCGATTAGTTTGCTTTTGAAGTAATTTAATTGGTACGTAGAACCTCTTATAATCCAGAAATGGTGACCCGTGTCCAACAATTAATTTACAGAAGTTTCAAAAAACAAACTAAAAATGAAACCAAATCAAACTCAGCTCATGGACTCCACATCCTTGTCCTAGCGAGATGATTAAGAGTAGCTGACAAACAACAAAAGTAGCTAGAAGGCAAATCAAAGTACACAATTTCTAACACATCAATGGTTATCAACCATTTGTCTTTCCATCTCGAAGTCTCATACAAAACATCGACTGTAAAATGAATAAATTACTGAATTTCAATTTGCTTACCACTACCAATTTCATTTTCAAGTCTCAAACATATTCAACGATTTGCATATGATATCAAATAAAAGAATACTGGCAATTTAAGTCAAAATACATACTACGAATTTCTATAACTTACCCCCACCCTTCTCCCCACCCCCTTTAACTGCTTGCTCTTGAGCTGTACAATTTCTTATATGATTCTCCTTCAGGAGGAACTTCACTGCTCTACAGCTTGCCAAACCCATTTATAAAGAGATCAGAACAAGAAGATGAATCATTATGAGATCCAACAGAACTTTGCAGCCTGCAATGATATGAGGAGCTCTGTTTCTGGTTCTCTTAAAACTTTTGATATGGCACATGAGCCATCACACAGTGTTGCGACTCAAACAAGCTCACAAAGAGTGCTTATGCTGTGGAGAGTCGAAACATAATTTGCACTATTATCTCCATCTCTCATTGATCATCTTTCTAAAATCTGCAAAACAAAAGAAGGTATTAGTTCTTCTTTTTCCTTTAACAAGTAAAGTAACAACATAAAGGAAAAAAAGCCCCTTCAGACCACAGAAGGCCTTAGCACGGATCCTCCAGTCCGGACACCTAAAGCACTCAAGGTTGCCAATGATTCTTGGAGGTCCTCCAGTCATATTTCCAGCGACATCCAGTAGTGATCCAACAATCTGAAAGCTGTCCAATTCAAACAGGATCATGTTCCAGCAACTTGGAAAACCTAAAACCATCAATTGTGACCCAAAAGCTTAGTAAGAAATTAGCCTGACTAATCTGATCATGCCATGTCATTGCCTCATCGGGATTGAAAAGCAACCTCAACAATCCTTCACACTCCATTGTGTAATGTATTTCTGCTAACTCAATAACTTGGGTCTACAATAAACAAAAATTCATTCATCCATGCTGGTAAAAGGTTATGTAAAAAATATGTAACGTACTCAAGGGTGCTTTAAGGTGCAAGTTTATCAAAAACTAAAAATACAAACTGGGATGTACGATCAAGAGATAGCAAAGATGGAACATTTTCAATACTTGGACTCAGTTACTTATTTAAAGGGAGAGAGAGATGAAGTTGTTCATATGATTAAAGCATAAGTTAAATAGAGAACTGCTTCTGGTATATTGTCTGACCAACGCATACCTTAATTTTTAAAAATGTTGGCAGTTATAAACATGTCTATGAAATGAGCTTAATCAAAAATGCAAATTTTGAGATGATTCTGAGGACAAGAAATGATAAAATTAGAAATGGTAACATTCAGAAAATGTTTAAAGTAGTGTCTATTGGGGATAAGTGAAAACATAAAATCGACTAATGTGCTTTGAACATGGATAGGGAAGAACAATGCAACAGTAATAAAAATGACGTGACTGAGAATAATGTTAAAGGGAGGGTGCGATCAAAATTGACATGGTTTCACATAGTAAAGAAAGATATAATTGTGTGTTGTTTAACTAAACTTATGGCATTAAATAAAACAAAATGAAAAAACAGGATCTGACTTGAAATAGTTGGGACAAGGCTGAATTGAGTTAAGTTGAGATTACATAAACATCAGAATTCCACGAGGAAATTTTCTTCTACAAAAGTAGGAAAACTATTGAACACAAGTCAAGATTAAAATCAAAGTGCACCATATCCCTCAAAATGCCTAGTATCTACCTGCCATGAAATCGTGTTTCCTCAACCTCTGCAATGAGATTGCAAGAGGGAGCACCAACTAACAAGTTTCATGGAAATTCAGATTACTAAATACCTCATCATTGGGATATAGAAAGTGTGAAAGTAAAATAACAAACCCAATTTACCAATCAAATAATCATCAAGTCAGAAGACATTGTTTCATTTTAGGGAGATGTAATACTTATAAATAAAAAATAAAAAATTAGGAAGATGTAAAGCTTCATATTGGTGTTATGAATTCAAAAGTATGGCATAAGACGCAACAAATGAGCATATTAAGTAGTACAAGATCAGAAAGATTATTGCAGGTACTAAAAAATCCATTTTTTTAGTACCTCGTCATGCTACTTGAAAGCAGAACTATCAGGGTGTGTTTAGTTTCGCTTTCTCTTTCTTTTTTTCAGGTTCAAGAAAGCAGAATCATGATTTTGCTTTTCTACGTGGAAGTAGAACGCAGAAATGTTGTTTACTAACATTTGTTGTCCTCAACATCCTCTATAGCCTTGCAAATGATACCTCTCACCACGATAAGATGCTAGGAACCTTGGCATATTAGCGCATCCAAATTCGACCAGGTAGTACTTACCGATCACAAAATATTGCCGCACAATAATATATACTTTTAATAAATACATAAACAACCTTTTTTTTTTGGAATTTATATACATAAACAACCTTGCAACAACATAACATACCTTTAGGTGGTCTTGGAAATTGCATAGTAGGATTGAAAATAGCCTCCATTAAAACTCGAGTCATTTACACTTCCTTCCCATCCATCCAATACATTAGAAAACCACATGTCAAAAGAGCACACGGAAAAAACATTGTGCTGTATCTAACTTCCTCCCATGATAAGGAATTTGTTTAGATGATGCAACATGTGCGGGGACGTGCGTTCCATCAATTGCTCCAAGACAGTTTTACATTTTCAATATATTTGTATCAATTTCATAATACAACTAAAAAAAAAAAAAGAACAATCTATTTTATTTTTGAAACAATAACCTTGAAGAATGGATAAAACTTCTCAATGTTGAGGATTTCTGGGGGTACACCATTAAAATCTGGTGGACAAATTATTTCCTGCCCCAATTTCTATACATAATAAAAGCACAGATGGAAATATTTGGAGACTAAAACTGTGGAATGTGGAAATCTCTTTGCCACTACTTGAACTCTCTCATTGTGTGCAAGAGTAGACAAGAACATTCCAAGTTTCCAACTTACTCTTGCGTAGTTAAGTACCTAGAATCGTTAATCCCAACCCCCTCAACCATTCACATAAGACATGTACTTCCACCTTGAACATTTCAAAACATCTAGCAGGGTGGTCATTTAATATTTCAAATATATAGGAATGGCCTTGAAACCCAGAAGTTCTACATGGCTTTGGCTTCAAATTGTCATATATAAGTCTAAACATTGAACCCCATAAACATGAACATAGAAGTCTACATAAAGCTAACATTGTGTACGAATCATCAAAAATAATAATAATAACAACATAAACAGGCAAGTGAATCAACAATCATAAACAGGCAAGTGAATCACATATTCAAAAGCCAACCCCACCTCCTTTCTTCATTAAGCCTAAGAAATATTTTGACCCATCTAGAATATTTACATCTAGGATCTTCACAGAACTTGTTTAGGGCCTTGTAGTAACGATCATCATCAATACCTTCCATGCCATCCAACACCGCCAAGAAAGCATCCAAGCTCTCCGCCTCCTCATCAACTTTCACAGCACAACTCTTACTCTCATGGACATTATAGTCAGAAGCTTTCTCTATTGCATGAGCTTTTCTCTTCGAATGCTCACTATATTCACTCATGATATTACATATTCTATGTTGGAAGCTCTCTCTAGTTTTACGTTGACGGTAGGGAGACCGACTTCTAGCACGAAAACTACCCTCCACCTCAGTGTCCACAGGTGGTAATTCTTGTCCATTATCTTCCTGTCCATCATCATTCAAACGAGTGAGTGGTGGACTCCGAGTTGAAGGATGGGAACGAGCACCGTTAGCAGATGTGTCACCAAACAAGTAGCCAAGCAAGTTATAGTGTTTGCACCCTTTTTGCCGATACCACCTAGCATCCCTAATTTGCTGCAATTGCATAAATATTCATTTTTTTAATATATATTTTTTTAATTTACATTTATAATGGACAAAATTTAAAAATAATAAAATATTCAATCTAACCTTGTACATCTCCTTCCACTGAGCCTCAGTCAATGTCACTTGCCCAGAAGTAGGGTCCCATGATGATCCAGTATTGGATAGAAACTTTTTGAAGCACTCATATCTTTCTCTCAATTGCTTGAATTTATTCCGTAATTTGTTTTGGTCAAAAACTCGACTATTCCTTCCCGTCCAAGTTTTCATTGTGTGGGTTAAATTATCCATCCTTCGTTAGTGAAGGTGGTTCTTTTTTTATTTCCTTTATTTCTTTCCTCTTCCATCAACATTATAAAGTATTCTTCAGCTTGCTCATCCCATAAAATTACATCAACTCCATTAACTGCTAAGTATTTGGATCCATGAAGTGATTTTCTTCTGACAAACTACAACAAATACTTACAAGACTCTTCTAAAAATATAAACTGAACTGACCTTATTAAAAAAGAACTCAAAAGTTGTTTTACTAATGAACATTGTCACTTGGACATGGAAACATCAGACTTGCTTAAAGTTGTTAGCCTAAAAAAGAGTATTACATGATAAAATATAATTTACAAATTAAAATAGATGATCAGCTATAAACCAAATAAAAATTACAAAATATTATCTTCTATTCGCAGTCCAGTTTTAATCACCTACTTAGCCTTTTGTTTCTAAAGAGTCTAGACCAAACCGATAAATACTGAACAATTTCAGATTTTTCATTACTCTTTCAGTTGAACAATTCAAAACCAGTATACAAATTCGGGATATATATGCATATGTAATCTGGTATCAAAGACAAGTATATAAAATCAGCAGAAAAATAGAACACTTACATAAAAAAAGAATGGGTTTTAACCTAGTTCTATGTGAAAAATTAGAGAAAGATCAACAAATAGCATGCTATGAACATGGTGAATCAACAATAGGATCAGCAATAGCCCTACACATGGTGAGCAAAAATGGGTTTCCTAACACTCGTTTCCTTTTGAGCCACACACATCAATCGAGAGAGTGTGTGGAAGGTTAACAATAGTGGACAGATGAAGTCCCAAGTACACAGATCTATAACAGAGGAGAGAGAAAGAGAGAGAAGAGAGGAGTAACCTTTGAGAGACAATTTCACGAGCGTGAAGAGAGGCTGGACGTCGTCGAGAGAGAAGAGAAGAGGAACTTTTCCAGCCGGTCGTCGATCGGCAGCCTTGTACAATGAAGAGAGGCGATTCTTAAATGAAACGAAGAGGGAACGCAGTCGAGACAGCTGAGTGGTAATGTATTAGTGACGTATGTCACCAATTGATACTCACATGTATTGATACTACTATTCACTAAAATAAAACATTTTTATTTATGTAACCTGATAGAATTGGTTGATGAATATTAAATATTAAGATGAATATCCAACTTTGATAAATTACCTCCCTTTTAAAAATAGGGTTAATTACAACAACAATTAATGAGGTAATGAGATTTGTCGTATTGACAAGTATATATAAGTTAACTCTTTTTTAGACAATGAGATCCCCTGAAATTTGATGAAGTTGACAAAACACCATACTTGACACATAAAAAATTGACCAATTTGTCCTTTGACTTGTTTGTGGACCTTTATTACTTTACAATTGAATTAATTACACCAAATTACCCTCATTACCATTTGATGGGGAAAAAATTGCATAACTACCAAAAACCGTTAATTTGGTGCCAAAAATTCTAGTCATATAAACGGGCATAACTACCATATGAAATTTTTGGTAGTCATGCAAATTTTTTGGTGCCAAAAATTCTAGCCATATTGACAGGCACAACAACCATATTGACAGGGTTATTACAATGGAACTTGCTATATACAATGGAACTTAAATCTTCCAAGTAAGATTTTCGACTTTGCTCATTTTTAGAGGGTCTTCTTTTCCTTTTCTCCGTCGGGTGAATTGGTGAGGTTCTAGATTTGCACCCTTATGTGTCAAGAGACTTATATTCTCTTTGTTTTCTTGGTTTTGCCTAATCCATCTTTCCTTCATGGAGGGCGAATTAGCACTTCAGTTAGATTTCTACAAACTATCGGCCGAATAGGAATAATAAGTGGTCATCGCCGATTCAGTGGCCTTAAAGGGCCTCAAGCTTTATGCCCATAGTCTTGTCGGCAAACTCTTTACTGATAAATCGGTGAAGCTTTTTGGGATGCGTAAGGCCCTTAGTGAAGCTTGGGATTATGAAAGTCTTCAAATGTACCAGATTAAAGATTCGATGTTTCAATTTATTCTCTCCAATTCGGAAAATTGTGAGCGAATTTTGAGAAATCGCCCTTGGAGTTTCGATGGCACTTTTATCTTAGTCCAGCAATGGTCCCCGAAGTTTGATTTCAGGGAGACCTCCTTCTTGAATGTTTCGTTTTGGATCCGCATTACTAGTGTTCCTTTAGATTTAACGATGGATGTGGCGGCGGCAGATTTAGCATCCTCGTTCCCAAATTGTGAGCATGTCGAAGTTAGGGACTTAGGGTTCAACGGTGGGCGATAATTCCGGATCAGAGTCAGTGTGGATGTGTCTAAACCCATCAGACAAGGACTCTGAATCCTCTATCGAGGCCAAAGGATATGGACGAAGTTCAGGTATGAACGTCTTCCCTCGCTTTGTTACAATTATGGTCGAGTATGTCATGAAATTCGCTCCTGCCCATCTAAGACCGATGATTTTATTAACGATGCCAGTTTAGGAGTTGGTTGAAAGCCTCAGGTTTAGCGGGCAAGCTTAAGAAAAATCAGAAGAATTTTGGGTCTACCAGTTCCTCTCCTTCATCGTCCTAAAGCTCCCACTCAACTGTTCCTGGTTTTTCGGTCACCAACATTATTGCCGGCGAAGTTAACAGTGCTCATAGTGCCCCCATCATTTCCCGTACACAAGTAGGTCATGCTTTGAATGCGATACACTGGCTTCTACCCTCACCTACTTCTTCGGGTAGTGTTCCGTCTGACGTCAATCCAATGGGCAAAGTGCACTTTCCCTCTCCACCTACAGTATATGTTGTAATACCCCTAGTTTTCAAAAAGATAAAAAAGGGAATTTAAATTTAATTATGTGACTTATGTGGTTTATTTGCTTAGTTGATTTAGTGTTTTGTTTTAAAAATTAATTGGTTATTTGTTTTTAGGTGCATTTTAATTATTTGTTTTTATGTGCATTTTAATTAATTGTTTTTCTGTGCATTTAATTATTTATTGACTTGAAATTTGGTATGTGTTTGGAGTGATTTATTTTATATTTATTTTTTTGTTTTCCTGTATTTGTTTTAAGTATAATTAATTAGTTGGTTATTTAATACAGATATAGTTATTATGAACGTGATTGTTTTGGGCACTTGTTTAATACTAGGTTTGGGTGATATTTAAGTTAGGGTTTAATTTGTAGATATATAAGTGGTAGTCGACATAATGAGTGGTGGAATTAGGATTAGGGTTTGATAGAGCCTATATATATAGAACGATTTATGTCTGCAAGGGTTTTGAGAAAACCCTATTCACGTTATATCTGGAGAGGGGAAAACAGAGGCTCTGGAATTTGTTTTGAGAATAAACAGATGGGGGGATTTGAGAGATGAAGTAAAGGAATTTCTCGTGGTGAGCCAAGAAGTAACAGAGGTAAAAGGCAATGACCAGAGGAGGAAGGGAGGGTCTTGAGTTTGCCTGAATTTGCAGACGGAGGTTGAAAGGTTTCAAACCGAAACCTAAAGGCAAGTTTTAGACTATCTCTTTCCTGTAAACTTGTGTTCTGTGCATTCTTTATAGTCTCCAGGGTTAATTCAACTTTAAAACTAATGGTTGATGCATGTGTAACAGACTGTAATTTGTTGTGTTTAAAGATTGGAATCGGTTTCCTGCATACTGTGTTTGTGTATGAATTGAGACTTTTGTAAATTAATTTATAATGGAAGATGAAGAGTTTCTAGGACTTTAGCAACTTAGACAGAACGCTAGGAATGTAATTAAACTTTAAAACGATTATTTATGCATAATGAACCAAGCTGAAATCTGTTTTTACGTTTTTGTGTTTCTGAAATTGTTCTTTGCTTCAACTGCTGCAACAAGGATTTAAGCTTCTGTAAATCAAATCCTAAGGGGATGTCAGGAGGTTCTAGGACTGTGTGGATGTAAATTGAACTCTAGGAAGTTTAAAAATCTGTATCAAAGGTGGGACGGATGGCTGGAATGGCACCGGAACCGAAGACGAAGGAGCAGGCTCTCAAGGAGAGAGAGCCGGCTCCCTAAGTGAGGGAGCCGGCTCCTAAGCAAGTAGAGCCGGCTCTCCATGAGGGAGAGCAGGCTCTGGAAGATAAAGAGCCGGCTCCCATGGGGGGGAGCCGGCTCCCTTGAACAATTACCCCTTCGGGGGTATTTTCGGCATTTTTCTGCCTTTGGGGCCTTAAACGAAGTTTTTGGAAATTAAAGGGGGTTCTAAATAATTAAAATTTACCTATTAGAACCTTTAAACAGTGGGTTTATATTGGGGTTTGATTCTAAGGGGCATCATGAACATAAACAATAGTAATGTGTATGCTGTCCGGAAGAAAGGAAGGGAGACTAACAGGATTGTTTTAGCAAAATTCAATAAACTGTTATAACGGATATTTCTGGGACTTTATATCAACAATGTCTAAGATATATTTAAGTTCCAAGAGGGTTGGTTAGTTTGTGGTTGTGGACATCGTGTAATTTAAATACATGGCTGTGTGCTGACAGGAGTGAAAGAGATTTTATTTGCTGGTTTGTTTTAACCAGTTTACATGAGTGGGTATAAAGTACCATTGGGGTTTTACACAATGTGCAGTGAGACTTCTCAGTGTCATATGATATTAGGCACAGGTTTTAGGATGCAGGATTAAAAAGGGATGTTGTGTTATAAACGTTAACTTTCATGCCGTCAGGGATTGAGGAGGGTTTCATTACTAGTCTCTGTTGTAATAATTTAAATGAACTAGTATGAGAGGATGGTTTGGGATTTCTAGCATAATGTACTCACTTCATAAGTCTGATAATCATTATACCCTGCTATGGTTGTTAATTGATGAACTGATTTAATTTCTGTTTTGTCAATTGGATGGATGTGGATAATTTAAATTGTTTAACAGTACTATAACAATTTAACAGGAGTTTTATGATTATAATCATATACTGGATACGTAATAGGATCTTAATAATACCTGTTTTCTATTATGCTAGTTTCTGGATATATTTGATGTTCTAATGAATGTGCATCGTTTGTGGATCATTTGCATTATATGTACCGGTATGGGACGGTGACATATCAGGGATGGATTAGATCAAAAAAAGCTAAGTCCTACCCCTTCATACATAAGGAATGGATTAACTAAAACAGTTAAATCCTACATGGATGCATGTCCTGTCAACTAAAACAGTTGAACGACATAATGTATATTTGTTTTATCTTTCTGCACTAGGAAGGAATTTATATATATATTTATGGTACCGTGATACGAGCTTGAGTCTCCTGATCACGGTTAGGGCGCGTATATCGCAAAGGTTGAGTAGTTGGATATAACTAATGTTCCCTGGTAGGTCTAGGTACTTGGCCGCTGAAAAGCGTGTTTTATAGGTCACCTTCTACCCAGGCTGAACTATGTTATAGGCTAGTGAGCATCCTATAGTGTGTATTTATATATATATGGACTATTGTAGATATTGCCGAGCTATCTAGGATGTATCTGCGTATCGGGTTTATGTACGGATTGTAGCAAGATGGAACTTGCATGTGGGCCTGACCCACCTTTATTTTTTAGGTGTTCGTGAGTACCAAGCTTAGGGTTTGACCGTGGTGATGCAGATACAGTCACTCACTCTTCTGATTACATAGGATTTTCTTTCTTATTTTGGTTTTGATATTTTATTCTTAATTCAAATTTTATTCCTACTTGTTTACATATTGATTGTCTGATATCCCTCGGATCTGTGCTCGGACTTGATCACCCGTGGCTCTAGAATCGAGGTGTATCACATATGTGTAGGAGCAATCGCCCTTTGTTTGATGGCGGTGCACTCAACTGCTCAATGGGCTTAACCTGCGACTCTAGAACCCAGCATGTAAGGCCTTTTTCCAACCCACGAGAACCGGTCTGTTAATCAAGATCTATCCTCTATGGGCCTGGGGTGTACCTCAAACCTGAAACCCAATCCACCCATTTATCACATAACTCCCCTGGACTTATTCCTTTCCCCATCAACCCTCATCTTTATGAGCCAGGCCCATTTACTCTAAATAATCTACATATTCCAGATTCGTCTCTTATGCTTG